GAGGATGGCCCAGGTCCTTGGGCCCTGCACTCGCATGGGAGACCAGGAGAAGCACCTGGCTCCTGGCTTCAGATCAGCGCCATGTGACGGCTGCAGTGCACTGGATGCAGCAGCCATTGTGGGGTGAACCAAAGGAAAAGAAAGACCTTTCTCTCTGTCTCTCTCTCACTGTCCACTCTGCCTGTCCAAAAAAATGACCCAACTACTCCACTTCTGATCCAGCTCCCTGCTGATGTACCTGTGAAGGCAACAGAGGATGGCCCAAGTGCTTGGGTCCCTGCAACTATGTGGGAGACCTGGATGAAACTCCTAGCTCCTAGCTTTAGCCTGGCCCTTCTCTGGCTGTTGGCCATTTGGGGAGTGAAACAGCAGATGGAAGATATCACTCTCTCTCTCCTCTCTCTCTCTCTCTCTTTCCTCTAACTCTGTCTTTCAATCAAAAATATGTCTTTAAAAAAAGATACATGCTCAACAATTTCAGATTCATTTGTGGTTTTGATTGTCTACTCTTAATAAGTGTCTATGTGAGGCATCCCAGGGAAATGGAGAGAAGCTTATTAAAAGGGCAGATGGGCAGCAAACGATGGAGCAAGGCCCAGGTTCAAAACATGACCTAATTTTGTAAGCCACATTTTGAAGAACACCATCACGCCTCTTCATTTACATACTGTCTGTGTCTAATTCTACAAGGCAAAACAGAGCTGACTGGTGGCAAATGAGACTGCATGACCTATAAAGTCTAATTCTTTACTGCTTCACCTATTCAGTAGAAAGCTTGTCAATCCCTGAACTGCAGCACTCTAAAGAGCCCTGAGAAAATAGCAAGTTCTGGTGAAGATGAGCAATAATAGTAATTCTCTGTGGAGTGCTGATGGGAATGGAAAATGGTACAGCTGCTATGGAAAAAAGTATGGTGATTCATCAAACAAAGCAGCCACTAGGTTATCAGCGATTCTACTTCTGAGTACACTCCAAAAGAATTTAAAAAGCGGTGTCCCAAGGATATGTTTGGATACTGAGGTTCAAGGTGGCATTTTTCACAGATTCATATGGAATGAACTCCAGGGTCTGTGAGTGGATGAATGGGTGAGGAAATGCTGGTATATGCTTAAGGACATTACCCAAAGCAAGATAGGTCAATCACAAAAAAAAAATGATATGATTCTACTATGTGGGGTATCAAGAGTGATCAAATTCATGAGAGAAGAAGAAGAATTAAGAATTGATGTTTAATGCTTATGGAGTTTCCATTTTATAAGAGAAAAAGGGGTTCTGGTCATAGGTGGTGGTGATGGTTCACATTGCAAGTGGATTTAACACTACTGGACTCTGCTCTTAAAAATGGTTAAAACAGTGAATTTTATACCATGTGTATTTTACCACCATAAAAATGTTAAAAGTTGGGAAAAAACAAAAATAAATTATTTTGAACATAACAAAAAGATAATCAAAAAGAAATTCATATAGTTTAGGGAGAAAGGGAAAAAATCTAACATACATTCCCATCCATGATCTTTATACAAATAAATTTTAAAAATTGGAGAAACAGGTGAGCAAGCACTGAACCAAAGAGCCAGAAGCTAACTGGCCAAATAAAGTGGTGCTCAATTTTACCTGTTATCTGGGAAATGTAAATAAATTAAAACCACCATGTAATATTCATATGAATATTCATAATTGTTTAAATAAAGAGACATAAAATAGTTGATAAGGATATGAAAAAACTGAAACTCCATCTCATCACTTGTGATGGTATAAATTGTTACAACCCTTTTGTGAAAGACCTTAAAAGTAACTAGTAAAGACAAATTGGAGACTTGTTTGCATTTACACTACCTCAAACTTCAGTAAAACATTCTATTTATTGTTTGGAGTACTAATTTCATGGACATGTTCAGTTTATGAAATTCATTAAGCTGTATGTTATTTGTGAATTTTAAGGTATGTAACAACTACTAAACCTCAAAACTATAAAATGAAAGATGACATAGATGGATACATATATTCTATCTCTATAATCAGCCATGGCCACAGTTATACATGATTTGGAACTGAATGGGAAGAGATTATAAATCCTTTCTCCATGTCAGCTGAGTATATGCTGGGTCTTTCTCTCTGCAATCATAATAAACATCTACCTTTGTCTTATTTTTATCATTAGGCTTAAAAGCACAGAACGATTCATAAGAATAAAGGAAGAGGTAGGAGAAGGGGAGGGAAAGATAAGGTTTCAACAAATTTGAGAGTTGGGTATCTATTTTACTCTAATTTTTTGTCTATATTTCTTTACCATTTTGATTCCAACCCTCTAACCCCCTAGAGAATCAGAGAGCTTCTCTTTTTCTGATTCTGAATCCAAGGTAATGGTATATACAAAATGTTTAATGGGGGTGATAAATAGGCAAAACTGTCATTTCTTCATAATTTCTTGAAACATTTTGAGCAAAATTCATGGAGAGTTTAACAAACTCTTTAAGAAAACCTACAGTGGTGGATGTTTGCCCCAGAGGTTAAAACACCACTCAAAAGTCTGCTTTCCACACTGGAATACTTGGGTTATATACGTGGCTTTGGCTCCTGACTCCAGATTTCCAGCAATGTGTACCCTGGGAAGCAGCAGTAATGGCTGAAATCCAGTTCCTGCCACCCACATGGAAGATGTTGATTGAGTTCCTAGCTCCTGGGATCCTGGGCTGTTGAGGGCATCTGGGGAGTGAACGAGGTTTTCTCTTGTCTTGTCTTCTCTTCCTTTTTCTTCTCCTCTCCCTCTCCCTCTCCTCCTCCTCCTCTCTTACCCTCTCCATCTCCCCCTCTTTCTCTCTCATAAAACTATTTTTTGAAATGAATGGGAAAAGTAAATCCTCCACTACTGAATAATTATAAACAATAGCACCAGAACACAGAGGAATCAAGATTGAATTTAGCTCCTTTAATCCTCAGATGAGCTTTATAAAATTGTTTAAGTCCTGGCTTTCGAATCCAGAAGGAAATTTATGATTTATTCTGCTGGGATGAACTTTATTAAATGACCCAGTACTTGATAAATATATTATGTTTACCATTGTATTTATTGTGGAAACAAACATTCACAAAGCCTTTTTAAAATGATGCTGATGCTTCAAAATTAGCACAGAAAAATAATTTCAGTTTTTCCTATAATTCATTATAGAAATTAATAATTATAATTACTTTTAGAAATTAATACCTATAATTAATCTAATGTATAATCAATTAAAAACTGTCATCATCACATCTTACATCTTCATATTTTTGCTCTAATTATGTCAGTATGTCATAATTATGTCTCCTGAGAGTTTCTGATCCTTATTTTATTAAAACTTTAATTTAAATATTAAAACAATGCAATCGTTCAAAATTATTCTTTTTTAACCCATTTGTGTCTGTTTTCCTCCTTTAGGTATCTGAAGACATTTTATCATGAAACTAAATTGTCTTTTAACTAAGATATTTAATCTACTTGTATACACATTTACAGGATGGAGAAAACAAGTTGCTGAACAATGTTTAACATAGTTTTAAAATGAAATAAAAATATTCCCAAGTATTAAATCTCATGTTAAGTTTAATGAGGATTGGAAAACATGTTACTGCTTGTTAAACAAAAATTAATTCTCCCATTTGCTATTTTCCTAGTTATGGTTGACATAGCTGTTAGTTTTTGTTTTTTAGTCTTCCCTTTGCAATACTCACAGTAAAAACCAAATAGGTAATCAGAGCCAAAAATCTCATTCTCATTGACATCTTCTGGGGACATAAATTTTAATTGTTCTTGCCCTGAGTTATCAATACTACTTAGAGAGTGGGATATAAACACGAGCAGGAGGAGAGAAAAATCTATGAAGATCAAGGAGAACCCGGCCAGAAATGGGTTAAAAAATAATTATGTGAGAGCATACTGCTTTGAATATACCCAGAGACACAAGGGAGAAGGACAGGAATGGGGCTTACCTGTTATAAATAAGCAGTTTCTGGGAGCTGTCCAATGTACTGAGTGAACCCTCAGGGCCAAAACTCACCTCCTCATGGGGAGCAACGTCCCTGGTGTTTCTCCCTTGAACCAGGATGTGTCTAAACTCACCTCCTAGGACGCTTTCTTCTAAGCCACATTTACAGTTGCTTTCTAACATCTCACTTCACCTCACCAGGAATTTGAAAAATCCTCTGCCGTGAGTACCAAACCATAGCTATTGGCAAAGAAGGAAAAAGGAACACATCTTTGTTAAAATATTAGGAATCGGGCCCCTATTGGGACACCTCATCCTCACATCAAAGTGCCTGAGTCCGAGTTCCACCTCCTGTGGGAAGCAGCAGGTGATGGTTCCAGTAGTTGGATCCTTGTCATCCTTGTCTCTCATGTGGGAGACATGGATTGACTTCTTGGTTCCCAGGGAGTGAAGCAGTGAATGGGATCTCTCTCTCTTTCTCTCTCTCTCTCTCTCTCTAGCTCTAGCTCTCTCTATCTCTATCGCTCTATCTCTCTCTATATCTCTTGATCTATCTATCTATCTCCCACCTCTGTCCCTCTCAATTAAATACATAAATATTTTAAGTTGATATAAAATCAGTAAAATGTCCTTTTCATGACATAAACTTTTTAATCTCAAAAATTATCTAACAATACCAAAAATATCACCCCGCAGGAGAATTCAACAAGGTATGGTTCCTGCTCTAAAGTTCTGTAGAGGAACTTCTTGTAGGAATATACAAGCCAATGAGGAAAAGAAGGCAGATGGAAGTCTCCGGATTTGCCTTTGTGCAAACACTCAATCAGCAACTTAAAAGTGCAGAGACTGGCTTATCAAGGATCATGTGTGAAAGGAGACTGGAGAAATTCTCCTTGGGGAAAGGGCTTGCTTTTGTCCTACACGCCGGCCGTTCTACAGCAAAATCCCTCACGGAGCAACCGCTGGGATCTTCCATTTCTCACGTTAGTGCCCAACCTCACTTTTCCCCTGGGAATAAAAATCCTCCACTTTACGGGAGCAGGAGATAAGGGAAAGGAAAGTCAAGTATCTCCATTGTCGGGCTGGGGGCGTCCAAACATCGGTGACCGGGCAGGAGGGGGAAAGGACCCGGGTTCCAGGAGCGACCCCGGGGAATGCGCTCCTGCCCCCTGCCATGCTTACTTAAGCTAATGTAAGGGCTTGCCTTTCAGCCGCGGCGGCGCTGGGATACGGGACAAACAGCTCCCCGGGAGCCCCCGGCGGCCTGGGCCCCTCTTCAGGACATCATTAAAAGCGCATGCCATTTGCTTCCCCTCCCCTGGTAGACGGTGGCAAGGTTCGGGTCTCCAGCCCTGAAGTCTAGGAGAAGCCACTGCGGTGGAAAACATCCTCGCTTTGAAAACCCAGCCTGGAATTAAAGACCCGCACGAGGTGAGGAGTCTGGGGCGCATTTATCGGCTGTGGGGGGCGAGGACAGTTACAAAAGGCTCAGCAGGTAGAGAAAGAACTGTCCCGATTGGCGCCGCGCACAGGAGCCCAGCACCGGGGGGGGCCTGCGCCCTTGTGGTCGTCCACGTGTCCTCCAGCCTGTCTCCCTCCATCAGCTCCGAGGACAGCGACGTGGCCAGAGCCGGCCCCGTGAGCGCGACTAATCCTGTTCCCAAGCTTGCCTACAAAGAGGAACAGGCCCCCCGGGCCTTGGGCAAGGATGCCGGGCCCGACCCAAGGCCGTTAGGCAAGCCCCCTCCGCAGCCTCAAACTCCATGAGCCGCAGGGCCGCGTCCCAGCGATGGCGGGAGAGCTGTGTGGACGCCGCCGTGCTGGACTTCGTCGCGGACCTGTCCCTGGTCTCCCCGAGACGTCCTGTCCTCGGCGACCTCCCGCCGGAGGCGCCCCTCGGGGACCGAGGCCTTGCGCTCCGACAGGGAAGACCCAGAGGGCTGGCGCGGTTTGAAGAGGGGGATGCAGAAGAAGGGGACGAGGAGGAGGAGGAGGAAGAGGAAGAGGAGGAGGAGGAGGAAGAGGAAGAAGAAGAAGAGGGGCGCGGGAGAGGCGCCTCGCTGCTGGGCCGCCCCAGGAGGAAACGGGTGATCACCTACGCCCAGCGCCAGGCCGCCAACATCCGCGAGAGGAAGCGCATGTTCAACCTCAACGAGGCCTTCGACCAGCTGCGCAGGAAGGTGCCCACCTTTGCCTACGAGAAGAGGCTGTCCCGCATCGAGACCCTGCGCCTAGCCATCGTCTACATCTCCTTCATGACCGAGCTCTTGGCGAGCTGTGACAAGCAAACCGGCTGAGGCGGCCCGGGACTGGGGCTGGGGCTGCGGTGCCGGCCGGGTCCCCGCCAGGGCGCGCGCGGCTGGGGTGCGCCAGGGCCGGCCCCCGAGGGGTGCTTTGGAAAGGGGAGCAGGGCGGCCGCGAGGCTGGACGCGTGGCCCTCTCGGCCACGTGAGCTCCTTGTCAATCGCCCTGTGTTCTCGGCAAGAGAGCGGCTGTGGAGCTGATGCCCGCGCGGTCCCTCTCCGTGTGCCGGGCAGAGGCGAGAGCGGGGAGCGGTCTTGGCTCATCCGGTCCGCAGACTGCGGGGACTGGGCGCTGCTGTCGGGATCCCCTCTCTCCGCGTTGTCTTTTTAACGGTATTAGAAGTAGCAAACCAGAGAGAGTCTTGGCTTTGTTTTAAGCCTCAAGAATGGACGTTGTGCCCTCCCCACCCGCGCGCTCCTAGGAAAGGCTTGTAGCAGAGACCCGCGACCCCGTGCGGGATTTCCGGAGAGGCCAAGCGGCTCCAGCCCTCCTGCCCAGGGCTCCCAGGCCAGACCAGGGACTAAGAGGAGATGCAGAAAAAATGGGGAGAGTCCGAGGGGACTTGGTAACCAGAATGCCACGTCCGGGAAGGGACATCATCTCTCCAGTACTAGCTCGCTGGCTCTCTCTCCTGTCTCTCTCTTCTTCCCTCCTGGTCTCCCTCTCCCTTTCCATCTCCTCCTGCCCCCCCCCACTCTCTCCCTCCCCCCACACCACTGTGTCAGATTTCCAGAGCGGGAACCCAGGGCGGGCGCCCACTGAGATGGCCCCATTGGCACCGCCGCGCCCAGCAAGGCGGGAGCGCCCACTGTCCAGGGCCTTGCCTGAGTGGGACTTGCTCGCTGCGGGCCTGCCACGCCTCAGGCCGCCGAGGGCAGCTAGAGGCGCGCTGCGTGCCCCCGGGCCTGCGGGGAACTTCGGGCTTCGCCCGCCCGCGGCCACGCAGCACCTGGCCCCGGTTTCCCTGCGCGGCGGGGCCTGAGCACGTACCGGCCCGCCGTTTGCCGTAGGTGGGGACGGTAGCGTGGGCCCTCACGGCCTCTGAGGATTTCCACGGAAGGCGGAAGTCCGAGGCGGAGACGCACTCTGACGGCTTGCGGGACCCCAGCGCCCGCCGGGAAGTTCGAGCGGGTGGGTGCAGGTTGGACCTGGTGCGGCTCCACGAGCACCTGAAATGGGGTCTTTCAGAAAGCCGTGGTGGCAACCACAGGAGTGGGTGAAGCCCACCTAACCACAAATGCGGGAATCCGGAAAAAAAAAAAATCCGCAGGGCTTGCTCCGACGTGCGGGGGCCGGGCACCCGCTCTGCCGCGCACACGCAGGCTTTTAGAAATAGAATCCATTGTGTTAAGAAGCAATATATCCTCATTCTAGAAATACTGGAAGGTTCTAGATAGAAAAAAAAATTAAGCCACTCACATTATCACCCTGTCAGCGTTTTCCTCCATGTCTTTCCAGTCTTTTCCTCCTGTGCAGTTACAAATTCAATATATTTAACACATTTGGAAAACAAATGTTGCTTTTCACTCCACGTAATGGAATGAGTGCTTCTCTCTGGACTTCAGATGTTGTTCCAGCGCGATTTTCGTGACTGCATCTCACGGCCAACATCGAAGCAACAAACCCTGCCCCGGCCCTTTGCGGGTGGGTAGCTGCTTCCTTTCACCAATAAATGACGCGGCAAACAGTTTTATCATTAATGTCTTTTCTATTGCAATTTTCTGGTATTCGACCCCTGGAAGTGACATTTCTGGATAGCTTGGGATGCAAACATTTTCTTGTTTAGATTCTGCCGGTTCGCACTTCTTCCCACTGGCGTTGCAGGAACTTGGCTGCTTTTCGGGGCCTTCCTCAGTCCTCTCAGCATTTAAAACTTTCCCTGGTTCTCCCTCCGGTAGGAACTGGGGCAGTTCTGAGATGACCACCCCACCCCACCCGTGCCATGTTTTTCCTATTTTGATTGTGTCTTTCCAAACAGATACAAGGGGAAAGAGTGCGAACCACGACCAAACAACCAAACCAGAGAATGTAATGTTCCTAGCATCTTTGTTAAAATAAATCAAGCCTTGCTCAAGGGGCTGCATATCCATTTCGTGGAGCAAAATCACACATCGTCTCCTTTTCTTTGTCTAGACAACGTTTTGATGACCTAGAGTAGCCTAATCTGTATTTTTAGGATAAATTTTAAACTTCTCCTTTTAAGGTGTGAAAGGAAAATAACTAATTACTTGTCACCTGGTCATCAAATGTTGATGTCTTCCCTGTCTTCTTAGGGGGCGCTAGTGACTCCAACACTCCCTCTGGTTTAGCTACCCAGTTACTCAGTCATCCAATCAGAAAACTGCTGGCCTTTCAAATTTGGTGTGATGGGTTCAAAATTAAGATTTCAGGGAATCTCCCTTTCTTCTCCCACTTCGAGTTCTCCTGGAAATTAGCAATCTTAGTTTAAAAACATCAGCAAGTGTTGAATGAGTCTGAGGAAAAAAAGCTGTTCAGGTCGCAAGTCCTTAGCATTTTGTTGAAAGAAGCAGTTTTGAAAACAAGTAAAGCACAACTGGGTAGACCAGGGACCCTCCATGTCATTGGATTCTCAAGAGTGAATGCGACTGTCCATCATCCCTCCTCCTCTCTCTCATACCCTACCCCTCTCTGTTATATTCTTAGCAAGCACATGACATCCCTATAGTGAATAACTGTAGCATGCTAGAGAATACTACAAAACTGTTAAAAGCAATGCTATTTTCCCATTATTCCTAGAGTTATAACCATCATTCTTAAAACTATTACAACTCTGTGGGAGTTTTTGTATATTTAGAAACTGCTCCAAAATGTGGCCTTTTAAGGCATTTTCTCTTATTTCTATTTTTCTTTTTGAAGATTTGTTTATTTATTTGAAAGGCAGAGTTGAGAGAGAGAGAGGATGTCTTCCATCTGCTGGTTCATTCCCCAAATGGTCACAACTGCTAGAGCTGGGCTGATCCAAAGCCAAGAGCCAGGAGCTTCTTCCAGGTCTCCCACATGGATGCAGGGTCCCAAGCACTTGGACCATCCTCTGCTGCTTTCCCAGGTGCATTATCAAGGAGCTGGATTGGAATTGGAGCAGCCGGGACTCGAACCCGTGCCCATATGGGATGTCAGCACTGCAGGTGGAGGTTTTTAAGACATTTTCATAACCCTTACACTAATAGAGCAATTTGAAAACAAGTAACAAGAGGAAAATCACAAAGAAAATCACAAAGAAAGTGATTGACATTTCTTTCACCAAGTCATCCAATGGGGTGAAAAAAAAAGTAACTCACGTCCCAAAGTTAAATGCAGGGAGCCTCCTTGCTTTGAAACTCAACTTTTATAAGCAACATGCGTTGGTTTTGGTTTTCCCCATAGTAGGTCTGTACAAATCACTGTATTTTTTAATACAAGTTTTTTAGTTCAGGGTACAACATTGTCATCTGAATCAATACTGATAAGAACAACAGTGAACATGTACTTTTCAATAACTTTTAATAGTAATTTTTAAAAGTCCAATGGTGTTCATGACATCTGAAAAACTATAACAATTGGTTTTGGAAATCTTAGTTATTTAGGCACTTAGAATCTACATATCATTTTAGACATGGCTGGAAGGCAATTTACTTATATACTCTTTACAGAATGAAAACTGCTTTTTGATATCAAACTAAGTTTCCCATAATAATTAGACTACTATCAATATTCAGATATGAAATCATAAAAGGTCTAAGTGAAATCATAATTGAAATAAATAAATAATTGAGCTTTCCAGAAGTCTTTGCCATCTACTCGGAGCTGTTCAGGCCCATCATCTTTTGAAGTTTTTTGCCCAGTGTAGAAGTAGATTTTGGGCCGGCGCCGCAGCTCACTAGGCTAATCCTCTGCCTGTGGTGCTGGTACTCCAGGGTTCTAGTCCCAGTTGGGGCACCGGTTCTGTCCCGGTTGCTCCTCTTCCAGTCCAGCTCTCTTCTGTGGCCCAGGAGTGCAGTGGAGGATGGCCCAAGTGTTTGGGCCCTGCACCCACATGGGAGACCAGGAGGAAGCACCTGGCTCCTGGCTTCGGATCGGTGCAGCTCCGACTATAGCGGCCATTTGGGGGGTGAACCAGAGGAAGGAAGACCTTTCTCTCTGTCTCTCTCTCACTGTCTAACTCTGCCTGCCAAAAAAAATAGAGTTATTGATGCAGCCGGAGAAGTAGATTTTGGCAAACCAGATATTCAGTCAGCATGAGAATTGCTGCATGCACATACAGTTGAGGCACTTTAACTGTTTCAGCATTTTCATTACAGAAACACTTTTGCGAGAGGTTTCTAACACAGCTACCCAAATTCTGAGATGAAACTTGATCAGGAAGATTCTAAGATATCTTTGTCCTTAATTATAAATCTCCAAGAGTAATGAAGCCACAAGTCTCTTTCACATGTGTACTTTCAAAAGTTACCATTAACTTTAAAAAAAAAAAAAAAAAAGTAGAATCCATTTAGTGGTGTTGACATTGTGGTAGAGCAGGTAAAGCCATAGTTCGGGACTCTGGTATCCCATATCCTATATTGGTTCCAGTCCTTACTGGTCTGCGTTAGATGCAGCTCCCTGCTTAAATGCCTATGAAGGCAACAGAAGATGGCCCAAGTGCTTCCACCCCTGTCGTCCATGGGAGACCTGGATGGAGTCCCTGGCTCCTGGCTCTTGCTTAGACTAGCCCTAGGCACTGCGACCATTTGGGGAGTGAACCAGGGAACAAGAGATCTCTGTCTCTCCTTCTCTCTATCTCTCTGCCTTTCAAAATAAATCAATAAATCTTTTTTCAAAATTAAAATTTTAAAAAGTATCCATTTACTGCAAAATATAAATTCTATTATTATTTTACTCATGTCAAGAAGAGCTAATAGAGTCATATGAAATATTAGATACTAAATTAACTTCTATAAGGTCATGTTACTTCATTAAATTATATTTTAAGTGCCTTTACGAAAGTGGTAAAGTGTTGCCGCCTATCTACAACTTGGCCCAAGTTCACGCAAAGGTTATTGAACTTTGCCAACATGTTGGGTGAAGTTAGGCCCAATTTCTGGTCAGCACCCTCTCTTCCTGTGAGTACTGGACTAAAAAAAGGTTACCAAACAAGAGTCAGCAGTTCTGACCATTTTGTTTTGACTTTGGGGTTTCTTTGAATCCAAAGCTCAAAACCAAACCTGGCGGAGGAGGAGAAGGAAAGAAAAGAAGCAATGCAAACTGACAGCAATGTAATACCAGAAAGATGGAAAAACTTCTTCAAGTCTCTAGAAACCAAAGGCTATAAATTTGCACAGCTTTCTCTATGATACCAAATATTTAGCTCTGTGTCTATATCACATTCCTTAAAGGAGTATAAGCAAATGCACAGAAAGTACGAGACACTCACATAAGGGATAACATTTGGTAAAATTCCACACTTAATTTTGTGAAACCAGGAATTTGGCAAATAGGACACAAAGAAACGACCTTAATAAAAATTCCTCATGTTTGCGTAGTGCCTTATTGTTTTCAAAGCACCATTCGCGTGCTTTCTTTCATTTGATCTTCACAATCGGATTTCAACAAGATCAGACTCTCTCAACTAAATTGAGACATCGGTGTACTATCTTAAACTCAGTACTTGAAACCAGCATGATACGGAGATCTCTGAAAGGACTGACGGGCGCACAGAAGTACGACATCCTTTGAAAGATATTGCCTTCAAAGATCAAAAGCACCTTAACACATCCTGTAGATGATAAATTTACAAAAGTCTGGTTTGGTCTGGCTCCCTCAAAGGCCAAATTTTTACAACTTTCTATTTAAGGCTCTGTGAAGGAGATTTCCACCTGCAGCCAACAAACGTAGATGACCTCAAAGCAGCTGTTGTAGACGGCTTTTATGATTTCCATTCTTCAAAAGGGAAGAAAATGTCTATGAGAATATGGAAAAAGATCAAACAGTCAGTGAACGATAGAAGGCAAAGTACCCTGTAAACATGTTTGAGTGACTGATTTCATTATTCTTTTTCTGGAGATAATTTTGTAATTTCTTCAAAAGATAATAAACTCCCAATCTATATTTGTTACTGGTCAGATTTTCAATCAGAGTTTACTGATTGGCTGTGCTGAATCCTATAGTCACTGAAATGCTGGACAAAGTTGAAATGGTCTCAAGGATAGCCATCAAACGCTTTTATTATTTGATCTGGATGATAGAATAATACTCATAATAATAAGTAGCAATAACTATATAATAAGGTACATATTGCATTGCTTGCTTATGACACATGCTCTAAACACGATGTTCATTTCTATGGAGATCTTTTAAAGTCATCACCATCATTTCAGTATCTAGAAACTATTGTTACTTCTACAGTGACAAGGACACCAGAGAATACAGCAATTGAGTAATTTTTCCAAGTTCAATCGGCTACCAAATAATGAAGCTAACATTTTTGCCTTAATCAAATATTTCAGGAACAAAATTCTGAGAAACTAGGGTTACTTACAAATGATTATATGATAATTATATTTGGTAGGAGTTTAATTCAAAATGATTACCTCTCACCTTTTCATTGTCTTACAAATCCATAGTTACTTCAAAATAAAAAGTGAAAAAATGAAAACTTCAGGTAATTATTATGACAATCCTTTGAACCCATAAGATCTATACAAATGTAAA